GCCACATAGAAATAGGCACGTTGCAGGAGTTTCTCGTTTACGAAGTTCAGTACCATCGGATGCCTGATGACGTTCCACTGATGACTGTCTCTCTGAACTCACAACGTGTATTTAAAATTCAATTTATATTACATATGTCCAGTCATATAATTTTTTTAATTAGCCCTTTTCCATCACTCTTCTCTACAGTAATACACACAAAGAAGTATTGGGATCGCTCGTACGGTTATTACACATATATCGAATGCAAGTTTGACAGGACATTTGAACCAAAGCGCGCTATCAGCTCCGTTAATTATGTGTACAACTTTTTAGAAGGTCTTCAGAAAACCATTTTCTTTCTCAAGTATCATTTTTTAGCAAGCAATAGTGTTCCCACGTGCAACGCCTCATCCTAGTTGGTTTAATACCTCTCATCGCGGTCAGTGAATGAAAACTTTAGTGCCAAATTGAGGATGTTCAGTACATATCGAGGATATCTTAAAAGGGCTAAGGCCTCGCCAATTACTTCTCTCCAACAGTCGTTCAGCTGATAATTGTTTCATTGGACAAAAAGAATGTCAGAATCGCTGGCAAGCTGACCACTAGGTGATGCAACATCAGTTGAGCAGCTGGAAGATTTTCCAGCCTCGTAGTTGGAAAATCACACTGTGAGATTATCAGAATATCAAGAAGGTTATGAAAATAACTATAAATTACCAAGTGTTTTAATTCACGCCATGTGATCACTTCCTCGCCATCGTCCGCATCATCTGAAATGAAAAACATGCTCACGTGCTTGCAGTGAAAAATTCCTCTTCAGAATAGGAGGGAAAAAGCTAAGTCATCACAGACTCTGAAACTTAAAGATTGGAAAATTTGGTGAGTAAAAGCCAATTTTGGTTTCTGTGACTGGTATATAACGGTGACAGCGGAAAGATGAGGCATAATTTTTAATACTGGATGTAAAATCAAGGTTTTGAAGGATGCTTGTTTTAAGTAGAATTTTAGCTTGTTAATAAGATATGAAAGAAGAAATCTTGCCAGCCGTTAGTTGCTGCTCGAATTTATTACCACTCAGGCTACCTCCTGAGTGCCCCAGTTCCTTAGACAAGCGTACACGGAAGAAGAGGAAAGTGAAGAAGTTTGATTTTCGACTTTTCACAATCTAGACTACTTATTGAAATCATGTAATCATGCCTTTATCGTAGCGGAAGAAGTAGATGATTCGATCATCAAACTGTGCACGTCGTGTACGACTAATGTAGAACTCTCTGCTACACCTGTAATTCAAAAAAAATATTTTTGAGTCACAATTATCAGCACATTCAAAAGAAATTAAGAGTAAAATCGAAGGATCTGGCACTGCTGTAGTCAAGGCGAGGGAACATTTTAGCAATATCACTAACATGGGATACCCATTCTGATTGATTGTGCAATCTTGATCGTGATTTTTAAACCAAAAATGAGGCAACAACGAGTGGGCTCAGGAATAAATTGATGAGATTTTTTAAAAGATCTATTTTAGACTAGAACTGAAGGAAAAAAAATGCAACGCGCACCAGACTAGTTGGTGCGATGATGCGTTTTGTGCAATTCAGTCCATCGAACGATTGTCTGTTAATGATTTTCAATGCTTTGTACCTT